AGGTGCCTTTGTAAGTTTGCGGACGCTGTTTCAGGATCTGAGTTGGAAGAAAGGATAGCAGTGTCATCAGCGAAAGTTGCCAGGAGGGTATCGGGATGGACAGGAATATCAGCGGTAAAGAGAATGTAAAGGATGGGGCCCAAGACGCTGCCTTGAGGAACGCCAGCCTCAATTGAGTAACAGTCGGAGAATTCGGTGCCACAGCGAACTCGGAAGGAGCGGTCGGAAAGATAGGATCGGAGTACTAGGTATAAGGACTGTGGTAGATGGATTTTAAGCTTGAAGAGTAATCCGGCGTGCCATACCCGGTCAAAAGCTTGCGCTATGTCCAGAAATGCACCCGAGCAATACTGCTTGCTTTCTAGGGTTGAGGATATATGGTCAACAACTCGGAGTCCTTGCTGGACAGTGGAATGTTGGGAACGAAATCCGAATTGATGAGTAGGAAGGTTATAGGATTCAATTATAGGTAGGATTCGTTTCAGTAGGATCTTTTCAAAAATTTTTGAGAGGATTGGGAGTAGGCTAATTGGTCTATAGGATGCTGTATTGTTGGAAGGTTTGCCTGGTTTCAAGAAGAGGACGATGGTGGAATGTTTCCATAAAAGAGGGAAGTGGGTAGTTCGTAGGATGCAATTGTATATATATGTAAGAAATGTGATGGCTTTAGATGGAAGTTGTCGAAGGATCTGTGGGGTTAGAAGGTCATATCCAGGAGATTTGCGAGGTGTGATTTTCCGTAAAAGGTATTTGACCTCAGAGGGATTAACAGCTTTAGGTGGTAAGGAGAGTGGGATAGGTATTGAGAGGGATTCTTCTACTTTTACTGTGTGGCTGGGATGGGATTCTGGATGAGGAGCGAAAGTATAGGAAAGGTGTTTGGCAAATTCCTCGGCTTTATCTTCATCAGATGCTGCCCAGGAGCCATCATCTCGTCGAAGAGGGTGGGAAATATGATGGGATTTGAGGATTTTTCTGGTGATATTCCAAAGGGAATTATCATGAGCAGAGAGTGTGGTGAGGTAGGAATTGAATGATTGGGATCTGAAGGTGGCTAATTCTTTTTTTAATTTTTTACAGTGATAATTGTAGGAGTGGCGGTCGGCTGGATGTCTGGTACGTTGCCATAATAATCTGGCACGGCGTTTTATGTGGATTAGGTCAAGGAGGTGTTGAGGTAAATTATGTTTCTTAAGGATTTTTGAGGAGTGATCAGGGGAGGAAGCAGTCCAGCCTGCTTCTTGAATTTTGGTAGTGAAGGAATGTACTGCATTGTCCAGGTCTTCAGAGGTTTTCAGGGTTACTCTGAGGTCAATTTTATCGGAGAGGATTTGATGAAAGAGTTTCCAGTTAACTGGGCCTCTGATGAAGGACGGAGGAGAGGGTTTAGGAATAGGAGCTAGTGATACTTGGAGTATTAATGGGCTGTGGTCTGAGGAAAGCTCGTCAAGACGGGCAACGGAATGGTTGAGAGCACCTAAACCATTATGGATAAAGAAATCGAGGATATCGGGATTACGGTTAGGATCAGTGGGCCAGTAGGTAGGTGAGTTGGGTGGAAGAAGGGTAAAATTTTGGGAATTGAGTACAGACAGCAATGTTCGACCACGAGAATTCGTGGTTCTTGAACTCTGGGTTATGTATGTTATCATATCGGAGCAATGTTTTGATGATAACAGTCACCTTGATACGTTTTATTTCCTTTTTATTTTTCATCAAGTCAGGTAAAATTAATGAAATATTCTGGAATATATATGAAATATTATGAGTCCATCAATTGCCTCCTGGAGTGCCTGATGCCACGCCCTGATGAGGACCTGCAAGGTGGGTCGAAACGTCGGCGTAATAAATTAATAATACTATTTTTATAATTTAGTATTTATTTGACCGCACCTCCCCCCCCCCCCCCCGATCAATTCCTTCTCATAAATGAAATATTTTTTAAAATTTAAACAAAGCTATAATAAATGATTTTTAAAAGGTTGAAGTAACAAGATTATTTATTTATATCACAAAAAGTGTTTTACAGAGAAATTCCAATATAGCTGGATCCAAATTACATTAAATAATAAAAAAAAATTAAGTTTAGACAAATTTTCATATCTAGACATTGAAAAATCAATTTGTATTTTTTAACTAAAGTGATGATTTACTGATTTCTTATCGATAAAACGGTAAAATATTTACTGCTGTGATTTAGTTACAAATATATGATATTTCTTACTAATCAATTATGCAATTATTAATGTTACTTATCAAACTAATAATTAGTAATAAATTTAAAATCGGAGATAAATCCTCAGTTCTTAAAATAATGCTTTATCCTCTTATTAATAACCACGAATGTTAATATTTTATATTCAAAATATTACAAGAAACTATCATTTTGTAGAGCGTAGAAATTAATATGTAGATGATTGTTAACACTCTATAATACAGACATTACTTAACCTTGTTATTCAAATTTAACTTCCAGACAAAATGGCATATATTAATTAAATGAAATCGAAAATCCGCCATCAAATCTATTGTTTTCTTTCCGATAGGAATAAAAACCATTAAATTTAAAGCTAACATTTTTATTTAAAATTTTATCAAACTAGGACGCTAAATTGATAAGATTTGGCCGGGACGGTGAGCAGTTTCAGCGAAATAAACGAACATGATTCGGTTGACAGTATGAAATAGCAATCGCTACCGTGGACTGTACTAGCGAAATAGTATCTTTTGATTAGGCCTTAGTTCCTTTAAGATTGCTTATGTGATGTCAGGAAATGAATGAAAAAATAATTTTATTCTGGACTAAAGTCTCCTAAAAGTAATGAAATAGTTTAGAAAGTATGTAGGTACATTGTAATAATGTGCTGTCTTTAATATTCATGATCTTGTGTTTTTCTTTCCTGATGACGCCTGATAGGTGAAACATTAGCTGGTTAGCTATATACGAGTATTTAAGAGACTTCAGACTTTCTGTAGGTGTCTCCCACTAATATCTGTAGCTTCATTTTTTGAGTGCTTGTTACTCACTAATTGCTTGAGATTTTAAATAACGATTTCAGATTTTAATTAATTACCGTAGTTCAGTCTCATAGCTATACTTTCTCCAGTTTTTTACAGAGGCTGTGTGTTCACCAGCAAGATAACTCGACCACAGACAGAGTCGATCTTCTTGGTAAGAGTAATTATACAATTTGGACATATATAAACAAATTAACATTCATTCAGAAAAAAACGAAAATTATATTTCAAGTTATTGATTTTTTTCTAAAGTCATTCAAATACTAGGTTATTGTAAAGTACAACTAAGAAACATATATTGATATGTATAATAAATAAATAGAACATTTATACGAATAGAAAAATATTTACACTAATTTACAAAATAGTACATCTAGCTATGTATACAACTTGCCACTCTTGTACATATAATGAAACATTAAAATATTTTTAGCTTTTAAGAAATTCAAAAACCAGTAGCCTTAATGCCGGCAATCCACTGTATAAGACAAATCACATCATCATTTTCTCTCATTTGGCTTGGTTACATGAACGATATTATTTAGAAATTAGTAATTATTATTTTTTTAGAATACTTCATTAAATAACATACAATAGAATTGCGCCAAATAAAACAAAATTATATTTGTATTTTATTAACTAATTTTCATTTTCATTTTTTTTTCAATTTAGATTATCGTTTTTACTCACCTGATTCAGTGGACGGCTGGCCTAAAAAATAAGAGCCACAATAAAACCAACATTCTAAATACGACAATAAAAACACAATGATTTGAAAATAAATTTTGGCTTCGTATATTTTTGAACGATTTTTTTGTTTTTGATGCTTTGAGTTTTTAAAAACCCAAGTAAGGAAGATAGCAATGAAACTCTTCTTGAACTCATCCATTTTCTTTCTTCCTTTCTTTATATTTAAGGCTATAGGGGGTTTTCCGGGGCCAGGAGACAGGGAAGTGGATTAATTCCTGAGTTAAAATTCTCCCTCACCCGGCACTTGGATTTGAACACATAATCTTTAGTTTATCAGGTTGCCGGCATAGCTTTATACTTTATACACCCGTTAGCATGTTCGTCCACCCCGCCACCCTCTTTAACCGATCCATAAAGAAAAATACTCCTAACTATGTCTCGGTGAGGTCATTGCCCCCAATTAAACAGGGTTTTGAGGCTAGTCCCATCCTCCCACAATGTGATATTTGTATATAAATATACATACATTATATTATATTGAATAGCTAATTTAATATATATTCTAGATAAATGTCAAAAACAGCAAGCAATATGCTTTAATAGTTTCTCATTAATTATAATAGGGTATCGTTCACTAGTCCATACTCTCATTAGGATCAGAAAAGATGTGAAAAGAAATCTGGACACAAGAGATACACCGTTCATAAAAAGTTGGACGGCCTAAGCCGCATTGAACTGTGATCTAGAATTCCTAAATATAGAACATAGAAAACAAATGTACCCTAATTGGTTCGAACGTTTTACATCTTATTCTACCGTTCTCGTGGAATAAATTTTATGGCATTACAAAGTTTGTTAATTATTAAATAAACCAGGCCATTCATGATTTTATTATTTTTACATCCTTTGCTTTCGATTATTCTTTGATATAAAATAAATGACAAAAGCTCAATTTTTTAATGCTTTCGTGACCAATGGATCGTAAATTATATCTGAAATTGTCAACTAGCATTTTAAGATATAATATATATATATCGGAAAAATTAAATCGTAAAAAATAAAATTTAATAATTGATTTTAGAAACAAAATTGGTTTTGTACAGAAGGTTTAGTGGTACAAATATTTCTCATGTCTTAGCGCCGTCATAAAAAAATAAATTGTTTCAGAAAAATATGGCACTTGCAGGTGTTTGAATTGAATTCAAACACCCGTAAGGTGTAGGAGCCCTGATGAAAGCCTCCAACTTATGCCGAAACGTCAGCACAGAATAAAATAAATTTTTTTTTTTTTTGTGTGCGCTCTCTGACTTCAACCCCGAATAACTTCCCAACCATAAAAAATATTATTCATTTATAAAGTTTCAATACATAATGTATGTTTTTCTCCTCTGTATTTAATTATATTACATTTTTAAAATATTCAAAAGGCTGCTTTATGCAATAAATAAAGAAGCTATTTCTTTGCTGTTCAAAAGGAGTTTCACTGTACTTCTACGTTGCGACATGATTTTCTCATTCTCTTATGCTCACGTAAAATACAAACCTACGATCTCTTATTCAGTACCATCTTTATTTCCAGGCCAGACTTGAATAAACACTCCAAGCTGAAGATTACACGAACAATTCTTTAAAATTGGTTTCTGTTGAATTCTGTCTCTTGGATGTTTCCTTGCCTCTGCAGACCCTTGCTCTGGAAAAGACAAAAACAACTTTTGTTTATATGTTAAGAATAAATCTTCTTAACCTAATTATTTTAATGGCATCGAGGCCATTAAAATATACAAAATTTGTAGCAAATAGAAAATTTGTTAAATAAAAATCTCAACTTTTTTTTCCTTAAAAAATATTTGAATCAGCTTCGCTCCTTTGGTCAGTACTAATTGTTCCAATGTTATATTCATAAAATAGCAGTACGCCAAACATTTTTTTTTCTAAACTAGACCGGTATCTTAAATAAGAATACATGCACTAAACATAGATGTGTTATCCATATTATACACTATTTACTTATTTTATAATTGTTCTTATATATCTCTGAGGCTCTAAAACCCATATTTCGGTCTTTGTACATTATCCTGAAGGGACTTGTCCCAGAATAAATAAATTATATTATTATGTACCTATCCAGATCCCATCAAATATTTTTTTATGATCAATTAAAGTTGTTATATTTGTTTTTATGTTAAAAATAATTCTTCTTAACCTAATTGAGCTAATAATTTAGATGACGTCGAGACCATTAAAATATTCCACATCAATAGCGAAAATAATTTTTGTTATGAATATTCCAATGATTATAGGAAAGAATTTTAATGTTTGTTACAATGTTACATAGAGATACGGTGACCATTATGATCAGTGACTTAAGTCATAAGCGCCGGTAATTAGGAAATATTGAGAGCTTCACGGTTAGCAGTGTCGGTCTTATGTTAGAGATTTGGCGCCCGCCGGAAAATAACCTTTCATCCCAAAAAAAAATTAAATTTAACTCCTAATCTTTTTTATATCATGCAATATTTGAATATCATTTCATTCAACACGACTCTAATTTATTTACTTCATTATTAAACTAAAATTAATTATTCTCTCATGCTTTGTATTTTCTTTTATTCCCAACATGTGGCAACATGCCCCTGGTTTATGCTCTTCCTTAAGGCCGTTACTGAAGATTAGTATAACACGACCATGTTGCTCAATTCATGAGGTGAGGGGAAGGGAAGGTTGTTTGAAATGATATGAGAAATGTAAGGCTGAATGAGCTCCAGAAATCCTTGTCATCGAACGGAACCAATCCTGATTAGCTTTTGACTCTGATAAAGTATGGGAAGAATTTTTATAATCAAAGAAAAGGCGAGGGTTTTAATAGAAAGTGCTAGCAGTTAATTAATATTCTTATGTCAAGGTAGCATTATTATCGAGGTGCTATAGTCCGGATTTATGAGTGAGAGGGGAGAAGAGAATAGTCGGAATTTATTGGCGCATTGAATTAGACAGTGGGAGGGATGGAGGGTAGGGTGGAAGCCTTCCCAACTATTTATGCCAGTGATTATAATCTCACACGAATCCTAGAATAAAAGAAAATCGAGATTTATTTTTCAGGATCTTAACGTTAAGTTCTTTCTTATACATTCTTTCGTACACTTCATTACTTAAAATTATTAAGTAAATTCACGTATTGGTGGCTCTAACATAACTGACTTAGTCCTTAACAAACTATAACAATAATATTGATTTAATTCTCATTTAAATAATTGAGCTTATTAAATATTCCAATTCGTGGTAACACACATGGTGGGGGGAGGGGTGGAAGGGCAGGAGGTAGGCGATGGACCAAAAGAAAAAAAAATGTGGGAGTTTTTGTTATGGGTTAAAATTCAACATAATTATTTTGAAACGAACAATTATAATATTGAATGTTCAAAATTAATTTGTTTACATGTTTATATAATTGTTAGGGGCTTCTTTGATGAGTCCCCAAAATAAATGTTTTGTACTTTTTTATGGTCATACGATGATTGGGGGATCCTTATTAGGACTCCGAATATCGTTATTTGGTATTTGTCTGGTACCGTTGTATGTTTGGTCCTAAAACTAATTGTTTTGTATTCGTTTATTTCCGAAAATTTTTGGGGCCTCATTGATCGGTACCAAACATAAATGTTACGCCTTTGATTATCGACGAAAAGTATTTTGGGGCTCATTTTATGTATTTATCCGTTATATGTTTAGTCCCAAAAATAATTGTATTGTATTCGTTTCCTGTAAAGTTTTGGAGCTCCTCTAATGGGTTCCCAACATAAATGTGTTGTACTTTTTTATGGCCGTAAGATCCCTTCTTAAGGCCCCGCATATCGTTATTTTGTATTAATCTAGTTCCGTTGTATGTTTGACCACCGAAATAATGTTTTGTATTCATTTTCTGCAAATCGTTGGGACTCTCCAATGGCTCCTAGCATAAATGTTATGCACTTTCGGCGTAAAATGATTGGTAGGGTCCCTTTGTAGGTCCCAAATATCGTTATTTTGTATTTATCTAATACCGTTATATGTTTGGTCCCAAAAATAATTGTTTTGTATTAGTTTACTGCAATTTTTGGGGCTCATTCGATATGTCTCCAACATAATTATTATGTACTTTAGTATCACCGTAAAATGATTGTGGGTCCCCTCTGAGGGCCCGAAATATTGTTTTTGTGCAATGGCAAAAAAAAAAAAAACATAAAAATTCTCGTTTTGGGCAAAATTAGAACAGCTGAAGATTAAATGAATTTTTATTTTAATTGTATCCCTATGATAGCACTCAAAAGACATATCTATTTCGCAACTTCTTAATGATCGTCGTCTTCCTGTTACGCCGTCCTGAAAAATGAAATGCTCAGACGTTTCACAATATGTCTTACGCAATCCATTCCCATAACAGGGTCAGAGAGCGGCGTCAATTGGGACAAATTACAGTTTCAAGCAAAAAATGTGAACAGATTGAGTTTTGTAATAAAAATAATGCTCCTGTTATTAAGTGAATGAACACTTTGGTTGTTGAATAATACTTTGAACTTACTTTACTTATTTTTGTTATATAAAGTATCAAATAATTTACGCAATGATATGCATTAGTAATATATAGTAAATATAGTTGGTTGTTTGTGTAGTTAAGGTGTATAACCTGTTGGTCATCAGCGCCGTTAATTAAAACTATATGTAGTTATATCTTTTGGTTGTAAATAACAAAATTAAAAAGACGTATAATACACGTTAAGGTTAAAGTTGTTTACGGTTATTAAAGTTTAGTTATTTAAAGCTAGGTTTGAAGTTAGCACTTTAAAAAAGCAAAAATAAAAAAAAAACAAGAAAGGTTAAAAGGAAAAGGAGAAAAAAAAAGAAAAGGAAAAAAATAGAGTTGGGGAGAGCTTCAGAGATTCTCAAAGATTCCTTCTTCAGAGAGGAAACACGACTTTCCTCAAGATTTTTCATCATTTCTGGAAATTTCTGGAATTTCTCTTTAGTTTAATTCTCTGATGTAAAATGCATAGCTCTCGAAGATATAGACCACTGTCATTCTATCTCCACATTTCCGAAAAATGGGCGGATTTTCTTTTGTATTAGGTGAAGGTGTGTAAGCCTGGTATGACCTATTATTATTCGCGTAAGGACAACTTCCTCTCTTCGTTACTGCGACTGAAACTGCTCCCTGAAATTTATTTGGAGGGCTGTTGTCCTATAGTGTCTATCAATCTTGGTGTATGACCTGGGTCGCGTCAGTTCGGATGCAGTTAAGAAAGCTTTACCATGTGCTGGAAGGGTAAGAGCTTCTTTTGCTGCTCTGTCAGTCATTGCATTCCCACCAATGCCTACATGACCGGAAGATCATATAAAATGTAATAATGTTCCAATGTCATTTAGCTGTTTTATGAGTCCCAAAATATTATGGTGGTCTGGATACATTTTGTTCATGGCTTTAAGGGCGCTCAAAGAATCTGATACCACAACCACATTTACAACTGGCAAATTTATCATATGTCGTAGAGCCATCGGGATAGCATTAATCTCAAGGGTATATATGGAATAAAGTGGGTGTAGTTTACATTTATAGGTAGCATCAGGTGTGACGAAGACGGATGCTGTTGATGTATCCGATTTAGAACCGTCGGTGAATATTAGTATATATTCTGGTAGAGAGCTAATTGTTTTATGGAATAGTTCTTTATATTTTGCAGATTCCGTATTTTCTTTCTTAAATTTGGAAAACAGTAGATTTAATTTAGACTGCATAAAAGTCCAAGGGGATATGTCATTTTTAATTATAATTAAGTTGATCGGTTTCAAGTTACATATTCCAAACGTCATCCTTTCTGCTAATGGCAGTGTTACATTATTCTTTTGTTGGGATTTTGTAGAAAATTTAGATTCACAAATGTATTTGTAGGCAGGGAGTGTGGTTTGTGGGTACAACATTGTTATATAATTTATTGCTAAATTTTGTCTTCTAAAAGAGAGAAGTGGTAGGTCTGAATCTACACAGAGACTGAGGGTTGGACTAGTCCTAAAGGCTCCATTATGGTGCACTGAGTCAAGCTTGGCAAGACTACTTTTACGAGCGGAGACTTAAACAAAACTGCCATAATCTACCATAGAACCTATTAATGCTTGATACACTTTTAGCATTGTATTCCTGTCCGCTCCCCACTTAGTTCTGTTAATACCTCAATTTTTCTTGATCATTTTTCTTTTAGTGACTTATTGGGATGTTCCCAAGACAGACGCCTGCTAATTTAAGTGGTAACGAAGTGCTTATTTATGTAACTGTATGTATATGTAATGTAATTTATGTAAGTTATATGCATATGTAATTTATCTGTATATGTAATTTATGTTAATTTTTATGAATCGTTTAAATCCATTTCCTTCTTGTGTGTCGTATTAAAAATAAAAATCATTATTTTTTAATAGATTTAGATAGATTTCTAGATTATTTTTTACTACATTTTACTAATACAGTTATCAACGCATGGTACTTTAACATCTCCTAGATAAAGGTCTGGCGATAGTAGTGGTTTTCGTTTTCTGCTAAAGTGAACACATTTTGTTTTGTCAGTGGAGAATTGCAATCCTAATGATTTAGACCAACTATCAATTCGATATAGTGCATCTTGGAGTTTCTTTTTAATAGAGGCGATATATTTTCCTCTATAT